TTTATAAAGAATTTAAATAGGCCTACTGTAAATCATTTGTAAATATTAATAAAAACATTGTTTTTAATTATTATATATTAAATATACAGTATTAAGCTTCCTTATAAGAATTGTTTAAATAAATAATATTTCCATTTAACATTATCATGATTGATTTAAATCCTAAACACTGCACACAATATCAACAGAAAGTTTTTAATACAGTATATTAAATGTATTAATCTTCCTTATGTATAAATCATTTATAGTCATCTTAAAATTCTAAATACAGTAAACCTGCTGGCCTCTAGTATGTTGAGTTTGTGTGCTTTTGAATACGTTTTAATTGTTCAATTGTTTATGCTTTATATAATGTACAGTAATATCAGGGAGATGTAAAAAATATTAATATTTACTAAATTGCATATATTTTGAGAATGTAAAGCCTGTATATACTTTTATGTTTTAAGTCCGTATCAAGTCTTAAACTGGCAACATCTGGGGACGGTGGAAGTAGGGTTTCTTATTTGGAAGGTGGACACTGGTCTATCTACTACGCCTAGTAGGGCCTAGCCTAGGCTTTTAAGTAAGAAGGCCCCTAGGGGTAGGCCTAGCCTAGGCTAGCGTAGGCCTAGGATAGGAAGGGGAGGGGAGGGGAGGGCCTACCTCCAAAGCCGAAGTCTTTAACTAACTGACTTGACACACGAAAATTTGGTTGTGGTCTCTAATTCATATCGTTTTATTAAATCCAATGCTGCTTCCACTGATTCGACATAGCCCAAATACTTGTTTTTTGAGCCTTATGAAATTTGTTCGGCCATGTGCACGGGTCACTATCACTACTATCAGTATCATCTGCCATAATTATGCTTGAATCCATGATCCATTCCATTGAAGAGCCAATCTGGTCGGAGATGATCGGGGAAACAACTTTTGTGAAAACAACCGAAGATACACAACATGTGACGTCATGTCATTTTGAGGGATGGAATCTAGTGCCGACCTTTTCTATCGGCATTGCCACAGTGCGAAAAGCTGCTGTTAATTAATCGAATCGATGTTTTTATCGATAGATGACATTGGTATAAATCATAATTCATAATTTTATTTCACTCAAAACGTAATGAGACTGGTTAGGCAAAAAGGAACATGTCCCTGTACAAGACGCCTTCCAGAGAAATAATGATAATGTTAATAGCAAAGACATAATAATAATAATAATAATAATAATAATAATAATAATAATAATAATAATAATAATAATAATAATAATAATAATAATATTAATAATTAAATAATAATAAAAAGTAAATGATAATAATAATGAATGAAGATCAAAATATATCATTGAAGTGAATTCAGTTATTTATTAAAACAAAATTTGGAGGGCTCTTTCATGAAGGTGTTGTATTAATGATGTTCTAAATATTTGCCTTTATTATATCAATAATTGATTAGGTCTAGCTTAGCCTATATTTTTGTTAACATTATATTATATTTGTTTAACAATTAGTTTAAATAATTATTTCTAATTAAATTATTAAATGTATACAATATATATTATTTAGGCGTAGGCATATACATAAAACAAAAAATAAACAAACAA